TGCTAGAACATCTGATACCAAGCACTTACTCTAAGATTTTTCCTCCTTTCTTGCGAGTGTTAAAGTCAGTAATCTGTATATTTGCTCATTAAGTACCTCTACTTGTATATCCACATAATCTTTCCTTTGCTGTTGTGAATACTTCCTCGACCAACTCCCTTTGAAGTCTGATAGTGTAGTAAATTATGCTTCAGTTATCTGAGCATTTATTTACTAAAAAATCAGTTCAAAGGAATTTTCTTCGACATGGATCTCCATTCTACCCTGGAACTGTGTGTGCCGGCACCAACAGACCCTTCGGCAAAAGCCGTTAAATCCTGAAATTGAAAGGTACGTACCAATAATGTTCAAACTAGAACAGAAGTAAATTTGCTCCAACGTGCACATGACTTGTTTTAAATTCTTTGGAACATATGTAGTTTTCTCATAAAAAATGTTTGCAATGTGCAATGAATGTAATATCCAGTAATTGAAAATCACAAAAAATGTAGCAAGTGTTAATTCGAAGGCACACCAAGGTATTCTCTTATCACTGGATTGACATGGAAACCTGAGGTCTCCATTTCACAGCAGAAATGTCTAGGTACTGATCAAATTATGAGTCGAAGAAAATTTGTCTAGATTTTCCTTCAGCACACCCATGAAAACCCTTAAAATCAATTATGTAGATGGATACGCTAGCCAACAAATTCATGTGATTGCAATATTTTAAAGTGGATGCCTCCAGTCGGTAGATTTTCTCACCTCATTTTACTGTCACCATTATCTTTTTTTTGTCTCAATCTTTAATTCAGTTGCTTTTTCATAATGATATTTCAAGGATAAAGAGCCTTATGTATTTCATTTCGATAAAGAATTTGCAAGAAAGAGGGAAGAACAACCACAAGGATCGTCCAGAGATGAGTTTACCTGTTCAATATCTCCTAAACTGAGATAGGCACTTCGAGAAAATCTGTAATAAACTTTAAAAAAGCCAATACTCTGGGCTCTCTAACGCGCCATAGATTTTTAAATTTGGCTTGATAGAACTCTAGAAAAGTGGCTTTTTCTGAATCCACCTCCTCTCCGCACAGGTCCAAAATTTTACAGAGCCTCATTCGCAAAGGAGCCACCGTGTCTATCGCTAATTTTGAACCCATGCGGAGAGGAGGTGGGTTCAGAAAATCCCACTTTTCTAGAGTTCTATCAAGCCAAATTTAAAAATCTACAGCGTATTAGAGAACCAGGGTAGTGACTTTTCAAAGCTTATTACAGATTGTCTCTACCTATCTTCATTTAGGAAGTATTTAACAGGTAAACTTACTTTCTGGACGACTCTTACTATCCGCCATTAGAAACCATTTACTTAGGTAATTGAAATTGAGAAGGGAACTTACAAAGTAGTTAGCTACTCACCTTTCATCTTCAGGATCTTTAATAACATCCATTTATTCAGAGTCAGGGCATGCATCTTCACAAAATTTGTATGTAGTTCCATGTCGAAGAATGTAACTTAAAACTGACTTTCTGGTAAAACGCTCAGCATAGTGAGCCATTGTTTACCAAAAAAAAATCAGGTTCAAAGTGAATCAAAGTCATGTGGAGGATGTGATTACGTAGAAAATGAGTGGATGAGAAATTGAGATTAAATCACTGATGTTATATCTCGCATTGAGATAAACTATCAAAGAATGGCACATACTAGCAATTCACAATATACCTGTTAATAATTATGGAACACTGAACAGTTTAATAAGTTTACGGTCCCAGAATAGAAAATTGTCGAAGGCTATTTATTCTTGGGTGGCTTCCTAAGAGTAAACAAGTGATACCTACATGTAATATATTGTGGATATTTCTTTAAAGAGAGCCATTAAGGGAAGGACATTCGATTACTGATTCTATTTAGATTGCTGTAAATGAGAAGTAGGAACTTTCTCCAAAATATTTACTTCCCGAAACAAAGCGCGAGGCTTCGCATCATGAAGCTTCGGCATGGTCAATAACAGTGTCAGGATTTGACCGGCCGATCTGTTGTTGTTTCTGGAGTTTAAACAAAAACTATTGCAAAAACATATGCACTCAACATTTTCAAGAAGAATTATTCCCAAATTCACTTCACTACCATGGAAACTCAGTATCTCAGTGTACTGAAATGACTAAGTAGACTAGCACAAATTTGGTCAATATTTTCGGATTTTCCAACGTTCCAAAGAGATTGCAGGTCGAGATATTCGTAAAGCAGGGTTAGATATTTTAGTTGAACAAATAACAGTTCAGAAAATATGCCAAAAACTAGAGAAATCTTTGTCAGAAGATGAAATTGATAACAGCCAGTTGGTTGTTTTGATTAGCCTCGATGTTCGAACGCGTAGAGGTCCCGCTGACGGCGCCTGGTCGAATGTGTGGCAAGAAAGCTAGGGGGTAATTCCGGCGCCATATTGAATTGCCGCTAAAGCGCGGGCAAACGCGGCATTTTAAAATTTCGAACTTCAAAAGTCGATTTCGGAGGGAAAAACGGCTCGAAAAAATCTGAAAAAATTACTGCGTGATCAGGAGACAATGCAGTTTCTGAAAATGCAAGAATTAGAAACAGGTTAACAAGCTCATTACTGAAACCAACTCCTAACAAAGATATTAACGTTTTTATTTCACATTGGCTACAAGGAATTCGAACTGCCCGCTCACAAGAAACTCAAAGCTCTACGCGAGTCAAATCGCGCACTACAATGGTTTCTGCAAGCCTCTCAATCAAGCAATGTTCATTTTCCACCATGTGTCGTTCAAACTATAAGCAATTTGCTACAGCTGAGCCAAAGCGTCAAGACTGAGGTTGCCAGATTTTTACATCGCAGAGACTGTCATGATAACGTTTAGCGCGCGATGTGAATCACGTAGAGCATTGAGTTTTAATGAGCGGGTGGTTTGAATTCACGCATCAAGAATCATCAAATATCTTCGTAAGGAGTTAATTTCGGTAATTTTCTATGTGCGCATCGTGTTCTACGTGAAATTTTAGTTACGAATCATGTATCAGAATGCTGAAATTCGTACCTAGTCTAGTGGTCCATTCAACATGGCTGACGCCGCCGCGCGGGAGAAAGCATCATGGTCTTTATCAACACGAGGAAAATGTAAATATAAACACGCCGGTTGATAAATCCCGTCTCGTCACGTGTGTTTTGACGGGTTGATGTCGGCCATGTTGAATATTGCGTAGCAGGTATCAGGACATTCCTTCAACGATTTTTTGTCCGCGCACCTGTTTTGTCCAGTACTTTACGTCCATGCGTAAAATAAGCAACAGTGACTTGGTCCGAGCTCTATATTTAAGTCCCTATATAAAATCATATTAACAATATCGAAACGAGAAAACTGAGAGAGAAGGAGATGTTGTTACGGTAACTCGTTTTTTTAATTGAAATTTTACTTTCTTCTTTTGATTCATCTTTCCAAATTGTCTTTGGTGGATATTTGGTGTACATTTATAATTTTCGATATAAAATATACCTTATATGTACCACTTCTTTTAGTAAAAATATTGCTTCATTTTAAAAAAGGCTCGAGATCCAAAAATGCTGACTCCGCGAGTTTAAATATTCGAGCCAAACAGAGCGGAACGAGACGCAGCGTGCTGCCAGCGCGACACGCGCATTGGCGCCTACAAACCTAACAGGGATACTTCACGCATTGCGCAATGCGTGAAGTATCCCTGTAAGGTTTGTAGGCGCCGATGAGTGTGTCACTGTCACGCTCGTCGCCCTTGCCCGCCGTGGCGCGGCGCTTGAAGCAACTATTTCATAACAGAGGTGTTTCACGGTGTCATACGAAATTGAAGGCGCTCCAACATTTTAAGAATGAGAGACATCCTTTAAGAGTACGGAGCTTTCCTTGCTACACTCCAAATACCAACATATTCCGTGCTCCTACCTTTTAGACATTGTATTACAATTTTTGCTGAACTTGAATTAATTTTGGGTCTCAATCTGTACGTGGACCGAAACTCTTTTGCCGAAATAACGCGTGGACGTAAACTACTGGAAAAACAGGTGCGCGGACAAAAATTCGTGGACGAAATGTCCTACAACCGCGTAGCGTCTTAGTGAGCAAGGGTGGGATGGAACGACTCCTCCCATGAAATGTTCACCTGTGTCATAATATTGTTTTTGAAGCGGCAATCTGAAAAGAATCATACTTCTTACGCAAATTGTGAAGTTAGGAGTGTATTTCAGATTTTCACAATGCGTTTATCGTGATTTTTGGGCCATTTGCTAACAGAATTACCTCCTCTTTTTGCACTAGCTAAAGTTTGTACTAAGCCCATTTTGTCCAAGCAACGGGTGAAAAAGCGCGGGAATAGCGAGTTGGAATTGGAATTGCAACTGGCCCATCCTGCATCCTTACCAGGGCTGAAACAACTGCGTTACCCATAAGTAACATTGTAATTACATTGCATGAATACTTCACCCATTGCGTTAAACACAGTGCGGTCAGGAGCGGTTGGCGTGAAACGCATAGCGCCTACAAGACTGCAGGAATGCTTCACGCATTGCGCCAAACACAGTGCGATCAGCGCGGCGCACCGGCGGAAGTTAAAATTATTAAACCACATTTATGTTTGTTCTTTCGTAATTTTTTGGTTCATTTCTTATAAATGGAGGACCTTGTCCACACAGAGATAGGTTTACGGAGCTTAACTTTCGCGCAAAATTCCGTGAAATTTTGCTGGTAGTGTTGACAGGGCTTTCGCAAAAAATGTATCCAACAAGAGTAGGTAAACGCGTCTTATGCACCCCTCCCCCTTTGCACGTTCACTTGATTTTTTTATTGATGTTTCAAAACGAATGAGAAGAGGGCAGCAAAATAGTGGCGGCCCATGGGCGGCAAATAGGTAAATCCGGCCCTGTTCATAAGGCGTTTTTCCTTCTCACGGCAGTATTGTAAAGAGCTATGATTCATTTTCCTTCGTGATTCCTGAGCCAATCATGCATTATCAAAACGAATTTGTCGATTTGTTGCAGGTATGTGTGGTGTTTGTTGTGGCAGGAGCCCGAGCTGAGAGAGCCGAGAGAGCTGAGAGCAGCGAAGAGAGCGAGAGCTGGGAGACGCGCTCGTCGCGACAAGACAAGAGAGGGATAGGGCCTCAATATTCCCCATATCAAAACCCCCCTAACAAGGCCTCCAGTTATGCCCACTTTGCGGCCGCTCATCAGCCCCTAAGACCTGCCCCCGGACAGGGACACCCGGCTCAGTACCAGAGTCGACCCGCACCTAGGTCAGCGATCATTTCATTAGTAGCTCAATTTCTTTTTTCAAGGTGGAGAAATGGTGCTAGGTCCACACCATTTCGCAGGGAAATAAAAGCCGAGAAGTTCCAAAAAGTATAATTATAGAGTAAAAAATAAACTTTTTTAACTCTAATGAGTACCAGTACAAAACTGAGGGTTAAAAAAGAAGAAGAAATTAGAGTTAAAAAAGTTTATTTTTCACTCTAATTATAATTTTTGGAACTTCTTGGCTTTGATTTCCCCGCGAAATGGTGTGGACCTAGCACCATTTCTCCACCTTGTTACGAACAGTATTCGGGCCATTTTTTAGTGTTTTTTTTTCATTTCATTTTTCATTAACCCTCTATGGCATGAATTGATTTTGGATCTCAGATTCTAGGGGACACTTATCTATTTTGTAGCTGCCATGAAGAAAATAGAGTACCAAATTTTTTTTCAAAATTTTTAAGTTAAGGGAACCGATTTTATAAAAAAGAAGAAGACTGGTTAAATTTTACAAAATCATGGCAACAGGGAAAAGATTCAATTTTTAGAAACCTCGAAAATACGTCGTTACGAATTCCTAACGCTATGCTACAGAGGGTTAAAACTAAATACTAAAAAATGAAAAAGGAGAAGGAGAGGGTGTGTTCAACTGGACATAATTATTTTTTAATGAAAGTCCAGAGGTGACAGACAGGTATAGGGGCCGTCCATAAATTACGTTACGGAGAACATGGCTCATGGCCCATTAACAATCTTACAATTAGTTCAAGGGCTGGAGATATCCACGGATACCGTTGTATGATGCACATTTTTATGGTGATTTTTTTACAATACAACGGAAGAATTAACCGCTCTGAAAATAGCAACATATCCAAAATTTCAATTCAAGTAAGATTATTTTATTATCTGCCTCGGAATTTGAAAAAAAAATGTATTTTGTTTACAACAAATTGCTCGAATGCATTGTATTGCTCCGCTCATCACAAATTTACGCCCTTGCCGTGTTTCAGACTAGTGCCGGGGGCGAACGCGTACAGCGCAGGCTACGCGCACCAGCAGCAGCACCGACGCGAGCCGCCGGCGAACGCGCTGACCGTCTACCCGGTCTTCCCAGCTGCACCGAGCGGCCCCTCATCCGGGCTCCAACCCTTCCCGCAATTCTACCCCCAGCAGAAGCCCAAAGTCCACCCGCAGAAGAAGCGACCCATCCAGGCCCCCGAGAGCTTCCTCCCACCCAGCGCCTTCGCCCACTTCCCGCCCGGCTTCCAGAACCCCGTCCAGACCGACTCCTACTTCAACTACGACGAGAACGAGGACTCATGAACAACGCCACAGGCCGTCGTACACCCATCCTCCGCCTCGAGGACATAAGAGCAACCTCAAAATAGCGCATTAATGAGCTTTGTCAACTTGAAAGATGTGCGGCTCATAAAATGATGTGGCGGGGACTTAGATGAGAGGCTTTTCTTAGAGGTCAGAGGCGGTTTTTGCAATTTGGCAACACCGGATTTCCTCCATTTGAATCCATGTTAAATAATCGATTCTTGTCGGAGCGCTTAGCCCCTCTAAGAATCGATTCAGTCCCATAGGTTTAAATGGAGAAAGGTCGTACACCCATCCTCTGCCTCTGCCTCGAGGACATAAGAGCAACCTCAAAATAGCGCATTAATGAGCTTTGTCAACTTAAAAGATGTGCGGCTCATAAGATAATGTGGCGTGAACTTAGAGATGAGAGGCCTTTCTTAGAGGTCAGAGGCGGTTTTGGCAATTTGGCAACACCGGATTTCCTCCATTCGAACCTATGTTAAAGAATCGATTCTTTTCGGAGCACTTAGTCCCTCTAAGAATCGATCCAAGTTTAAATAGAGATAAAATGTTGCCAATCTGCTGGATCCGCCAATGTTAGAGGCCTGAAACATAAAGCCCACTAGAGAAGAGCCGTCAAGATCTCGACTTCAGAATTTTATCGTCCACTAACAAAGTCCTCCAAGGAAGAAGCCCTTCGAATACCTGTTTGCAAAACAAAGCAAATACTAAAAGAAACTCCAAGAAAATCAAAAACAAAAATAAACCCCCAAAAATATCCCAAATAAGCATCCAAAATCCATGACACAAATAGTTATTAACCCTTAAAATATAGCATATGATATTTTTAACCACAAGAAACATATATTTTGACTGCAAAATTTCGACGTCCACTCATGTATTACTTCCAAAAGAAAATTAACTTACGATTCTTAGCGATGTTTTTCGGAAATGCTGTAAAACAAGAAACAAGTTTTTCAAGTTCCTTGCATTTAAATTATTGAAAAATGGGCGAGCAAAACCAATTATACGCCTAAAGTTTCTGAATTTCATGTAACTGTTCTTATTCAGTTATGGGCAACACAAATCTTCTAACGTTACTTATACACCTCTTCACACTGAAATCTAGACTTTTATACACCCCCTCACGAAAGCTCCTTCCCACATCCAGTCAAGTTGAAACTTTCCATGAAAAGTTATGCGTCACGTCTTGTAAAATAATTTTCTCTATTTAGCTTCAACGATTTAAATTTTTAACCGATACGATTAACAAGACTGTTAAACTCAACAAAAATGCGACGCTTTAGATAGATTTTTGAGTGACGTCATGCAATGCGTGACCCTCTCCTCGCCATCTTCTATCATACGTCACTTACTTATATCATCGTTCTGAACTTTTACCGTACTTTTACACAAGACGTAACTGACGAATGGCTTCAAATCAATTCCAATTTTTATAAAATTTAAATGTTCGACTATAAAAAAAGGTATTCAATAAATTCATAAATTTCTTTTTTTTCCGCTGGCTAAACATTTTCCGGTTTTGTGATCTTTAAAGGAAGATTTTTCCACGGCAAAAGATTCAGATATAGTGGCTCGTGTTATAAAATTGATCCAGTTTTTTTCCCCCGTGATTCATCCTCAGAATGTGCCAGCGCGGAAAGCATCAGTTTTACTTCTTGCGTTAAGGCTTCAGAAATAGTAAGTTGGAGGCTTAAAATATCCTCATAATACAGTTTGTATAAATTAGCACTTGAGAGATATGATTGGCGTGACATTTATTACTCTGCTTTTATAGCCATGATCAAATTGACTGCGATTCGTTATAAAAAAAAGCTGACAGATGCTTTCAGCTTCCTCTTCTCTTAACTGTGAAATTCAGTAATCGCAGGTTTAAGGTGAGGTTGGGTAACTGGGCGGTGGGGTAACTGGGCAGTACCCTCTGTATTTCTACCAGATTAGTGCAAAAATTGTTTTCACTGTTGGAATACCTTCATTATGACGTAAACCATCTAGAACATGTAAACATAACTTCAAAAAAAATTTTTATGGTGAATGGTGAAGTGCCGAAAATTGTACAGCTTTTTTTTCAAAACAACGCCAGAGGTGGTCCCGAAAAGAGCCTCATATCTCACTCCCAGCAAGTATTTTATTCAACTTTGACAATTCTTCTTCATGTATGATGTATTTGTGTAATGCGTGAGTAATTACAACGTAATTGGATGAAAATACTGGCTGCAAAGGGTTGATGCCCAGTTACCTTGAAAATTTTCCCTTTGTGGGGTAACTGGGCACCCACCCCAAGGTAACTGGGCAGGTGGCAGTGGTGGCACCTGCCCAGTTACCCATTGCAAGGTTGCTGTGCTTCGGTGTTTGTTTACTTCTGAAAATGTCAAAACTAATTGACTACTGTGGACTTTTAAGTGCCAAAGACCAATAATCAGGGTTCCCAGCACACTAAACTTCTAACTTAAGTCAATTATAGCATAACTTAAGCATTACTTAATTACATTTTTGCCGCCAACTGTTACGACATCACTTTTAACAACTTAAACATGGTTATATAAATTCAAATGAAATTCTCTGAAACCCTCATGAGAAGGACATTCTTTTCTGGCCAATGAGAATTACAAATAATGCCCCCCTTAAAAAGTAAGGGAACTTTTTGGCGCCTGACTCTATCCCAGATCAGCCTTGTGGCTTAATTTTTTTTTCATTTTTTAAAAATGTATCATGCTAAATCTCACTAAAAGTGGCCAAACAGTGTCCTGGTATACAATACTACTTTATAAGTAGTAATACAGAAAGTTCTAAGCATTTATCTACAAGGAAACAATTTTTTTTTACCGTTATTCAATTCTCAGATTTGAGGGTTTTTTTGCCGCTAACTGTTACGACATCATTCTTAACCACTTAAACATGTTTATATACATTCAAATGACATTTTCTTAAACCTTCATGAGCAGGACATCACCTTCTGGCCAATGAGAATTAAAAATAATGCCTCCCTCAAAAATTAAGGGGGGGTAGTCCAGTTACCCCACGACGTTGGGTAACTGGGTGAAAAAAACGGGAAATTTTTGAAAATTTGTGGGAAAAAATTGAAAGATGAAATTCGACTTTTGACTCTTCCTACATTTAGACAAGGTGTTGTACTTACTAAAAAAAATTTAAAAGTAGCCTCCACTGTCAATATAATGATGGGAAAAAATCATGAAGTTGAAATTTTGACATTTTTCTCCGAACTCCTGCCCAGTTACCCAATCTCACCTTATAGTAAAATGCGCACTTTAGATTCGACTCTCTTGTTGTATGTAAATAAATATCATGTGATGAAAAAATGAATGTGGCACTAAAGATTGGTATGAATATTTACCAAAAATTAGATGCAATAACAACAACCTGTATGTATGCATACTGGAAATGAAAAAAATAGTGCCAAATTTTTCATTAAAATTGACAAAGAACGGCCACTGCATTATAGTTCAGTTGTGTTGGGCCTACATATATCCTATCACCTCACTACTTCTTCTATGACTTTTATTATATGCCTCCTAAATTCATGCTTTTAAAAATAAATACATAATATCAGTATAAAATACATTTTCCCTTCATAATTAGTAAAATACCGTGCACTCCGTCCGTAAAACTTATTTTTTGGTGTGACGAAAATGCTGGGTAGCTAGCGTATTAAAACAAAAATAAATAAATAAAACATCTTAGGAATCTTTGGAACCTATATTTTATCTTTTCTGAGCTGTGATGAAACCTGCTAAAAGTCGTTTACAACCGTTGATTTTAATAAACGATGACAGGGAAATATTTTACATTTATTAACTCTATTCTAGTCTCGAATGTGCTGCATGCACCGGTCATCTTGCTAAATGCATGAAATTAAATTGGTCGTCTCACAATCCACAATACTTCCTATTCAATTTGGTGAGTTTGGATTTTTGTTTCGAATTGACTAAAAAAGGACAAATAATTCAATTAAAAGCTCTCGTCCATTGATCACTTGAGTTCCAATTACACTTGCTTTGAAGGGAAAATGAAAGCGATCTTTAGATTCTTAGTTTAGATGGATTCCAGGAAATTAATTCAAAAGAATAAAATGTCCGGTAGTTTTAAGTAAGTGTCATGTATGCATAATTTGACACACTAAATACTAATAATATTGAAGGTAAAATTATAGCGGTAAGTGACAAGTGGCGAGTTTCCTGCCTGTGACCATATATTATTCTGCCAAAAGTCTAAGAGCCAGCACCATCCTTTTTCATCCGAGGAAATTTAAGGTATTTCCTGAATTGTAAATATGTGTATATAAGGTGTCTCAAAAATACGGCACAAGTTTTAAGGGGAGGTAAATGGAAGCCGGTATCAAAATGTGGTTTAGTGAACTTAAAATCCAATATCCTATGAATTAAAATCAATCTGCATGAGCTCTGTTGTACTTGTGATGACTCAATATTTCATTTGTATTTGACTGTTTCTTGAAAATAATATTCTCCAGTTCTATCGAAACATCATTTAATGTGAATGATATATTTTGCAAAATTCATTCTGTGTATCTTCTCCTTTAGAAAATTAAACCATTTTTTTATTTTATTTTACTTTAAATTTATTTTATTTTTAATATTTTTTTTAAAAAATTATACTATCGTTTTTTTAATTTAGTCTCGATGAGTCAATGTGACATGTTATTTTATGAATTCTGTAACTCGGACAATTTTTGGCCGAAAGAGATGACATTTTTGTTAGTTTAAAGTTAATTACAAAGAACTGAAAAGACAACAAACCACGTTCTCATTCCTGTTCCCGTTCGCTTCCCTTAAAAAAAGTGTGCCGTGCATTTAAGACACCTAATGTGTACCTAGATTGTAAGCAAATATGTTAATTAATTAAGTTTTCTCCGATTTTAATTACTTTTATTTGAATTCAATAATATTCACTCAACTGATATCAAATGACTGTGACTATTTTTACTACATTCCTCACAACACATTTACAACCACTCATACTTATAATTTGTTAGTTATGCCATTGATCTCAAAACTAGCGGAATTCGTAAAAAAGGGTCATCGTTAAAAATACTTGGACAAAAGAGTAAGAACGTAAAATTAGAAATATTTTGAATGCCCAGAGCTTTTAAATTTTGTTTACGGAGCAAAAATATTCTTCGATATATTTCAAGCATCGCATTATAATCTGTGGTGTATTCAAAAAATACATCTGTCAAGAGACTTGAACGAGAAGGTAAGAACGTAGAGACCAGAAAAAAAAAAAAAAAACTTCTTCATGTTCACTGTCTTCCTATGGTGGGGAGGAACAACAGTGTCTATATATGTCAGATTTTCTTATACTGAGTTGCTCTTCGTGATAAAAATAATCTAGGTTTTTTAGAAAACAATTTTGACGACTTCCTGCCGAAGGGTAGCGGATCAAATCTTATAATTTTAAATGATTCTTCTCTGATCAGAAATAAAGTAAAACCTCCCAAAAATGCTTTGTATCTCCGCTGAGTCTAGATCCCATTAGATCCAAAAAAATGAGGTCACTCTGCAGTTAAGGGGGAAAAAATCAACTAGATATTTAGAAAGTTTGTACAAAAAGGACCCTATATTTAATTTTTGATTTACAAAAGACCTTAAAAGCTAAGAAGGAAAAGAGGAAGACAATAAACAAGCGAGATCAATGATAGGACGAGTAACCACCATGCAGGCTCAGGCCGGAGAAGTCTCCGTGGCCGTAGCTGCCGTAACTTCCGTAGCTGCCGTGTCCGTAGCCATGTCCGTAACCGTGGGACTTCTCAATGTAGACTGGTTGCGGGTACGGGACTGGCACGTGCTTCTCAACGGCGACCGGGTAGGGCTTGGGCACTGGGTATGGCACCGGGTGAGCGACAGGCACCTTGACTGGTACGTGAACTGGGTAAGGCACTGGCTTCTCAACGGGGTAAGGCACTGGCTTCTCGACGGCTACTGGGTAGGGTTTAGGTACGTGGACGGGGTACGGCCTGTCGACGGGGACGGCGACCTTGACGGGGACGGGAACGGGGACGTGTTTCTCGACGTGGACGGGGTAGGGTTGCGGGACTGGGACCGGGACGGCGACTTCCTTGGTGAGGGTGGTTGTGACGTGGGATACGTGACCGTGACCGTATCCGGATCCGTAGCCGCCGTAGCTTCCGTAGCTGCCTAATCCGTGTCCAAAGGAGTCGAAGGAATCGTGGCCGTAGCCGAGTCCGTAGCCGGAGTAAGAGTCGTATCCGTAGCCTAAGCCGAAGAGACCTCGCTTGTCTTGCTTCTTGCCATCTTTTTCGGCCGCCTTAGTTGTGGTTTTGTCCTCTGCGTAGACAAAGCTAGCTAGCGCCAGAGCAGTAAGCAAGGTCTGAAACAAGATTGAATTTTCGTTAGTTCTATATTCGAAGATACGAGGAAAAAATTAAAGTAAGACTCTAGCTAAACGATAGAATTTATTATTTAAGTGTGGCATGTATAGAATAATTGGACGTATTTCTGTCAAACGGAAATAAGCGCCAATTTGAGTTCCGTTTGAGGAATTTGGAATGCCGGATAGCGCGTTGTGTCAAACGGAACTAAGCGCCATGGAAAAGCATTGCGAGTATAGGACGGAATGAGCCTGACGCCCGGTTCCGCCGCCAATCCAAGCCCCCCGCTACCCTCCTCACCCTATGACGCTTAGTTCCTTTTGACAGAAATACGTCCAATTATTAGTGCAATTGATGAGACTCTTGTGTCTACTCGGTCATTGGCAACATCCATAAGCTTTAATGACCGTTATTTAAGTAACCCTCAAAAAGGGATTTCAATTTTGTGAAATCGCACAGTAATTGGACTATATGTTGCAATTTGGAACTACAATTTCTCGCTCATTCCTGAAAACGCCTAAAACTAATGGCACATACGTTGTTTCTAAACTGAGCTCGAAATTGAAGTTCTAAATTGCAACATGTGGTCCAATTGAAAGTCGCTTTCATAAACTGAAGCTATACTTTGACTCAGGGTATGAAGAGATCTGATTCTAGATTGGAGTTTTTACAAAAAAAAAGCAATTGCCAACAATTAATTTTATATTTTCTGTATGCCGTTAATAAAAATATAGACGTATCTGTGAAATTCAATGCAACTAAATAGAAGAACACATATACTAATATGTAGGTTATAAAAAATCTCTTCGGTGCAGGAGAAAACTCGTTCTCAACAAATCTTACAACGTGCAGCAAAAACACATTTTTCCAAGAATAATATTTTGGAACGGTATCGCAAACTAAAGTGCTAAAATTGATTCTAGTTTCAATGAGACATTATTCAAAAAAAATTGCAATAAGATTGCAAACTCGCACTAACTCAGCAATACAGCAAAATCTCGCAGATTTCAGAGGCTATTAGTCCAGAAAGTTTCACCCAGAAAACGGGTCAGCGGTTATGTCAGCTCCATTTCTCCGCGAAAAGACCAAAGCACGATGTTTTGACCTCCGTCTACCCTGGTCTAAATCAAATCGAGGGTCACTCTTGCATACGACTGGTCTTGATCGTAAAATTTAACTGCAAATAACCCGAGTGCTCCCAATCATTATGGATTTACTCCCGTCTTGGAACCATAAATTTCGCCACGCTGTTCCACGATGCCAAACCTAATTTAAAAAATTCCTTCTCGCATTATTTTGTGCGACAAACTCAACTAAAACCACGACCGGATGGCAATCTTGATTGTTAAAATGCATGAAACTTCCCGTGTGAGTAACCGTAAACTGAGCGAGTTTCATGGAAATCTAGCAACTGGCTAGGTATAGGTAGGAATGCAATATTTCTTCACCCAAAATTGAGCTGTGACGCAACCTTGGACCACAGAGACTGTGAACCTAGCACCAAACACCTAATTATCGACCGGGGACGTGGGATGCTGGAGCAAGCTGACAACAAGGGTCATTGTATGACCTCCAACGTTGCCATAAAACGGGAAATTGCCCAATTTCGGTGCACGTAGAGGGTTATTATGAGCTGTGATGGCTACGTGCTCGGACCCTGCTAAGAGCGTTTTATTGGGTTAATTGAAAAGTTGCCTTGGCACTGTGGTTAGCATTGCAGCATCTGAAGGCACGAAAGAACTGCGGTAAGAAGCTTGGGACAGGTAAGTTCGTGAATATAAGGCTGACTTCATGGATATCTTTTGCATTGATTTGAAGGTGAAGTGAGGAAAAAGGGGCAATCAAAAAACGTTGAACGATTGAACGTTTTTTTTTTTCAAATTATTTTCAGGGAAAGTAGTCTTCACTCTTGAAATACTTTTTTGGAAAACAAAGAAACTTAAACGCAACACTAATAGGAGTTGAAACATTTTTCTCCCGACTTAGGTGGCATTGTAGGTATAAATGCATCGAAGTTGGAAATGTTTACTTTAAAATAGACAGGATAAAATAGCTGGATAATTAGTAAATCAGAGCGAGGGCTATTGTTTCCATGGTCTTTGTTTTTTAACAATTTATTGAGGAATAAAGCTGTTTCTCTAAAAAAGATGCAAAAATTCTCGAGTGTACCCCAAGCATTCCCTCTTTTATTTGAGCCAATCAGCACCAATAATCATGCAGGAAATCAATATTCATAAAATAATTCTTTATGAAAAAAGGTTCTTATAGCCCTCTTAAAAACTTAGGAAATGTGCATCCGGACGCAAAGAAGGCTATAGGAATCACTGGAATTCAGTTTCTACAAGACTCGTACTGCCTAATGAAATTGTGTATTCTCATATGTGACAGACTGCAGTGTGTTGTAACTTTTAGGCATTCTCGAAAATGTCTCAAAATTTGAAAATCAATAATTGGTCGATCGCTTTTCGAATCGCTCTCACAAGTGAAATGAAATCATATTTGATAAAATGCATGTCTAATAAAATTGCTTTCCCGCCGAGAATGTATGAAAGACGAAAATACAGGACAAAAGACTGAGACTTTAGACATGAGACTGAAAGTAGCCCTCGAAGAGAGAGGGCCACCCTTAAGATTACCTCTTTAAAATCATATATCGAAGAGAAAGGTACCCAGCGGTCGAGCTGGAACTGTAAAAGCTCTTAAGGTATCCCGTAGACTTTTCAGGCGTAAAACTGTACAAAAGTCACGTTGAACATAACAGGTTTTTCTCAAATAGACTCGAAACCAGCGCACTACAACTCGCACATTTTTGAATTCACCGCGTCTGTGATTGCTTATTTCTTAGCTTTTGTTAAGCAGGTCCTCCCAAAGAGAGATGCTAGAAAGTGTAATCGAATTATAAACAAATATCTTGCAAACTGTTGCACATATTTCTCACGGTATGATTTTTATCGTCTCATTTCTACGACATGTAGAAATAAGGGTAGAACAACACTCAAGATCATTCAAGAGAAACCCTTTGCAAGATTTTGGGTATACTAAAGTTAGGCTCTCTTTCGTCTCTCTCCGAGAAAATCCAAATTTCTGACAAATAATTAAAAAAAGTGCTGGCAAGCGTGGTACATTTGAAAATGCCTGATTTGAGGTGTGCAAAAGCTGTGTTAAGAACTGAATTGAATTACATTTTTTCCCGCGATTTTTGTGCGCTATTACCCCATCATTACACGTATCTTCAGTATGCTGCCATATCTCTAGTTCACTACAGACCGTTCTGCCGTCTTAAGGAAGAGTGCCATATGAATCTTCAGGCATTGCCAAATTTCCATTTATTGAACACGAATTACCTGGTAAATTTATAAANCTTTTAATATTTTTAAAATATTTTTAAAACATTTTAAAAATAATATTTTATAATATTTTTAAAATGTTTACATTTTATATTTTAAAAATATTCCACAAATATTTCAAAAATATGTCATATTTTATATTTTAAAAGTATTTTGAAAAATATTTTTGGAATACTTTTAAAACATTCTTGAAATATTTTAAAAATATAAAGAAGAAAATATTTTCTGTAAATATTTTTGAAATAAGGTGCATATTTTTAAAATATTTTAAAAATATTGCTGTCTAACTGGGAAGGTATCCCGTAGACTTTTCAGACGTAAAACTGTACAAAAGTCACGTTGAACATGACAGGTTTTTCTCAAATAGACTCGAAACCAGCGCACTACAACTCGCACATTTTTAAATTCACCGCGTCTGTGATTGCTTATTTCTTAGCTTTTGTTAAGCAGGTCCTCCCAAAGAGAGATGCTAGAAAGTGTAATCGAATTATCGTCTGAAGGAAGAGTGCCGTATGAATCTTTAGGCATTGCCAAATTTCCATTTATTAAACACGAATTACCTGGTAAATTTATAAATATTTTTCTTCCAATTTTTCAGAAAATGTTGCTTGGAATTTCACCTAAGGGTTCTGAAAAGTTCAAGGAAAAATATTCATAACTTTCCTCAAAAAGTAACATTTTATTGGAGGGAATTTGGCAACTCTCGAATGTTCATATGGCGCTCTTCCTTAGCATGGCAGCGTTGGACCGTGTTGAATCAAAACTGT